TCAGTAGTGAGATTCCAGGCACTGCAGCAGGCGGGGACCTCTGTGAATTAATTTTTCCTTTGTTTTTCTCTGTCAAGTCTTGATCTTGGCTAAAGTGCCAGCTGGCTGCAGGCCCTGCTGGGAGACAAGAAGTCAATTACCCCGATGCCTTTGATTGAATTGCGCCTGGTGAGTGGCCAGCCACCGTGGGCTTCTGCCCCGCAGCCTGGCATGGGGACGAGGTGCAGCCTGGGACAGCTCCTCTGTTAAATTGCAGATGCTTGTCCTGGCTCAGGCAGTCCGGCTGTCCCCTGAGCACTCCTCTTTCATTCCTATTCAGAGGGCTTCGGCAGCTTTTTTGCCAATATGTCAAGACTGTTAATAATCAAAAGCCCAGCAGCATGTAGCTGTGTAAATCAGAAGGGAGAAATGCTCCATTTGAAACGGCATTTCAGTAAGAACAAAATCTTTGCTTCTGCAGGAGCTGCGGAGCTGCACAGCCAAGGGTGCGACCTGGTGGAGCACCCAGCTGGACATCAGGAGCTGGCTCTGATGTGCTCATGGAGCTGAGCAGCTCTCCCCATGCCTCCTGCACTGCTGAGCTGGGGTGAGTGCAGCGAGCAGCAGCCCCTCTGCCTGTTCTGCACTCATCAGTGCTGCCAGGCTTGCCCAGATGCTGGGCAGGAGATGCTGACACTGCCCTTCCTGGGATGCTGAGAGGTAGAAGAGTACTTCAGAATCCTGCATGCGGGAAGCCCAAATCTGAGCTGGCTTAAAAGCACTGGCCACTCTCAAATGCTGGTCCCAGCACTGCTGGGCAGCTGGAGGGGGAAGCCCCTGGGAGATGCAGGCCTGCAGGGCCCCCAGACCACTGAGACATTTAATGCATAAAGATCACAGGAGACAACATGTGCTATCGCCCTGTCCCCAGCGAATCCATGAACTCCAGAATCAATGCTGGCAAGTCCAGAGCACAGGAGGAGGAGTGGAGAAGCGATGGCCCCAGCAGAGAGGGGACTTTGCCAGGTGGGAGTGACCACACAATCCTGCAAAACGCCCGCACTGTGGCAGCGCAGCTAGGGAAGCAGCGTCCTGCCCCCAGCTGCAGGCTGTGAACTTTCTCAGCATTTCCAAGCAAACCTGCCCCACTCTCTGTGTCTGTCAAGGCGAAACCTGCTCCTCCCCTCCCACCAGCTCCCTCGGACATTGCAGGGAATAAAAATCCTTCTTGGACCCAGTAGCGGAGGCCTGAAGGCTTTTGTTCTTCTGTCCTGAGGCAGTCCAGCTCCTCTACAAGGGGTCCTGACAGCATTTGTGCCCCCCTTGCCACCCTTGCAGTGGCAAACAGCTGAAGAAAGCAAAGCAGAGGCACCAGCCCTGAGTTTGTATCACAAATGGGTTGTTTTAAACAGAAACTGAAGCCCAGGATGGAAAAGCTCCAAAACAAACCAATTAACTACCCAGTGAATAATTTATAAGACAAACACCGTTTCTTTTCCTCATGAACTAAATGCAAATGGTTTATGATCTCCTCAAGCCTGATTGTTACCTGAAAGTCTTGCCCAGCTCCTTCCTGGCAGGTACGTCTGGGCTGTGGTTGCAGGCAAGCAGTGGATAAGGACGTTTGGGTGGCGCTGGCTGGTGTGATCAGGGTGGGCAGACCTCCCAGACGATGGCTGCTCCGTGACCTGACCCCTCTTTTTAACCCTTAGGATCAACTACACAACATCAACAAACCTGGCACTTAGAAATTAAAAATGGATTTTCTGCACAAATCCCTTAACCTTCACTGACCATCTGCTGTTTCCACAGTAACGCAGCGAGCAGCTGCGATGGGCCACCACCCCCCCACTGGCTCAGGCTGGCTCGGCCGCATCACTGCAGTTACCTGGGGAACACACCGGAGCTGCCCCAGCACCAGCATCCTGCAATGCAGCTCCAGGCATCACGGTGCAACGGCCCCAGGGGGACACTCCCACCTGCTCTGCAATTCACAGGGCTCCAACAGGCTTCCAGGGGGGACGGGGATTTGGGCGCAGGTCCCCAGCACAGTCAGGACACTACTTTGAGCACAACCCTCTAATGGTTTATGACTCATGGTGGAAACAGATTCATTCGCAACCCAGGGCTTTAGCCAGCAACGCTTTCAGTGCAATAGAATCATTGCCGAAAGCAGATTAGCGCTGCGAGGTAATGATCTTTTTGCCTGCTTTTCTTAGCCTGCCTCATCCATCGCTGTCCTGTGTAGGATTAGCATATGCCTCATTTTGGAGCAGACATTCTGGCTTTAAAACCCAGCCCTTTGGATCATGGTTAAATGAAGACAGATAACAGCAGCCTCCGCACTGGCAGGGTGCTGTTGAGCCTGCTGAGGTTCACAAATGGGATGTTTGCTCTGCTCCAGGCAGGCAGAGGGGCTTTTGGTGGCTGTAGGCACCGGCCTGGAATTTCTCAAGGAGACAGAGCCGCCATGCATGCGTACGTGCTTGCGGGACATTGCACGTGAGCTGCCTTTTCTCCAACTGGGAGGCTGGATAGAGGGGACACGGGAGAAAGTCTGCTCCTACAGCAGGAAAAGGCTGCTGGTGTTATGTAGTTAATTATCGCTGCAGAGCACGGCTGAGGGGAGCGGCACTGCAGGATCTGTGGAGAAGCTGCGTGGGAATTGCCACCTAATTTATAGCAGATGGACGTCAGCATCACCTCAGCATCCAGCACATCTGCCGCTCCTGCGGCTCGCCTCAGCTGTGCACCGGGCCGCGCCAGGGGGGACACTGCCCTCTCCCATGCCAGGGAGGGAACGGCAGCACCAGAGGGGTCCGTGCACCCCACGCTGAGCTCGATGTGCTCCCAGCGCCGCATGGAACAGAGCGAATGCTGTACATCCCCCCGCACAGTACTTGCAGCTAGCGAGACGGCCACGGAGCTAAGTGACAGCAGGAACACGCTGTGCTCTGAGCACTCGCAGTGAGACATGAGCCATCAATCATGGGATTGTGACCAGCCTATCATTAATGTATTAATATCGTGAGTTATACACGCATAACCAAGGGGCACGGGCACCAGGAGGAACCAGTGCAGACGATATCCCTTGGTTATACCTGCCCCGTAAGCAGTAAGGAGAGCCGGTGGTCTCCTGCACAGCCCAAGCAGTCAGAGGGGCTGGGCAAGGAGGGCTTTCACCTGTCCAGGCTGCAGGGGGGAGGTTTGAAGGTTTTGGAGGGTAGGGACAGCAGGACACCAGAACTTCACCTGGGCAATGACTGACCTCAGTGGGATGAAGAAGAGGGAATATTACAGATATTACAGTTGACCAAATACTCACTGAATTACAAACGCAAAAAAAGGGCTTCACTGATGAGGCCTTGAGAGGGGATGAGGATGAGCACAACTCTGGCGGAGGCTACTGGGGTGTTATTGCAGTTCAGCAGAGCTACTGGACCAGGCACACAGGCAGCAGGAAAACAGACTTGGAGGAATTAATGAGCCTGGTGGGAGGAAGTGCTAAAATCCACCAGGAGAGGAGGCAGCAGGAGCATCCTAAACAAATCCACCACGATTACATCTGCGAGGCTATGGCTGAAACAGAGAGTGCAAGGAAAGGGCTGCAGAGAGGGCTGAGGCTTAGGGACCTCGCAGGAGATGTGGAAATGTGGAGACAGCCAGCAAAGCAGCTCAGCTTCATCAGCCTTGGGGGTAAAAGGGATAAATGCAGGGGGCAGCAAAACTGATCTACAGCCAAAGGCTTGGGGGCGGTTGTGCAGATACACCCTGTCTGCTGTGCGCCACAGCGATCACAGCTCCACTGTGCCAGATGTCATGGCATGAGGCAGGCTCTGCCAAGCACTGCTCCTGTCTAACTTAGCTCAAACTCAGTCCTAACTCTGTCCTGTTGAATTCAAGGTGGGAGGAGAAGATGAGGCTTGGCGTTCATCTGTCAGATCGCTGCCTCTCAGCTCTGTCCTTCCCCATGGGGCAGGGAAGAGCTGGGCACGGGGAGGCAGTGAAACAGAGGATGCCCTGGAGCAGGCACACAGCTACCTGCCTGCAAGTCTGCTGAGACATGTCCTAGCTTATTAAAAACCTGAGCAAAGGCCAATGGAAGATCTCCTTGTGATCTTGTTGCTGCTGGACCAGACACCAAAGAAGTCAGTAAAGCTCTTACTGTGTTGCTGACAGTCCTTCTGAAGGGTTTGGGACCCAGGAGAGACAGGAGACTGTGAGGGCTGAGGAGGGGTGGCAGGGCCTAACCACGGGGATTGACTACCAGAACCAGCACTGCACCATGTGACAACTAGCAGGGGATGTCATGATGACAACACACAGGGCCCAAGAGGGCATGTAAGCTGAGGAGTCGAAAGACTGCTCGGTGGGCTGAAGGGGAGGATAACAGAGGCAACTGGCAAGATACCCAGGGGGTGGCTTACCAGAGCCAGGGACACCCATGCCCAAGGACATCCAGCGATCTCACACTCTGAGCCCAGCACTCCCCATCCCATCATTTCCAGTTCATTCAATGATCCTGTGTGGCTTGACAAGTTCCACAAGTGCTGCTAATGCACGAAACCCCACCAGTCCCCTCCAGTACCTGCATCCAGCCCAGGTATGGCCATGGACCACTCTTCTCCAGCCCTGAGCAGAGGTGAGGTGCTGTTCTGCCTCCAAAGGACCCTGCTACCTGCCTGGCCTGTTTTGTCACCCCCATCTGCCCCAAGGACCCTGCTCAAACTGTTGGGTAGGTATTTGGGTCATGGCCAGAATGCCACCATGCCTGCACCGCACACCCTTGGCATCAGTCCCTGCCTCTATGGCACAAGGAGTCAGACAGGCGGGGAGATGCCGCAGACCACACGCCCTGTGACTGCAACGTTAAAGCGGCTTGAGTCCCTAGAAATCTCCAAGCAGTTGCTCCAACATGCACCTGTGTCCTGAACCCCCTCAAATGCGAACACCAAACTCCCAACCACAGCCTCTGCACCAGCCCTCTTCCCAATGTCTGCCTCTGTGGCACTCGTGCCTACCTTGGCATCCAGGATGCTTGTCTCCACCCGGGCCACCCCCTGGTTCTCCCTGAACAGCTGGATCTTGCTGACCTTGCTGAACTCTGACAGCACAGTGGTGAGGTTGGTCTTCAGGTCGATGACGTGGCTGATGCCGTGCCGGGGTCCCACCAGAAGCGTGGTGGCTGGCTGCTTCTCGTCCTGGTAGCATGAGCACATGGAGAGAGACAGACGGACAGGGGTGAATAAACGCACCCTGGGCTGCCTGGGCTGCGCCTGGCTCTCCCCATGGAGCCAAGCCTCAATGTCAGCAGCTCAGCTGGGTCCTGGATGGCTTTTGCAGAGCAGCAGGTAAAGCTGGTGCCATGAACCCCCCTCCCTGAGCCTCTCTGCAGAGCTGGGAATGGTGTGCAGGATGCCAAGACTATTTAAAAATAAAGCACTGAACTGACTGTCCACATGAAATATTCAGGCCTGCTGGTGTCACTACAGAAAAATAAGAGCATGTTACAAATCTGTCTGATCTGACATTGCCTCTGAGAGAAGGAAGCAGAGGAGGGAGTGAATGCATTTTAGAAAAGAAGAAAGACTAAAGCCTTGACTGAAAACAGAGATCTTTCTTGCTCTGGTGTACCCAGGAAGGATGCTTCAAGCCAGACCTGGAGGTGAAGAGGAGCTGGGCAGACCCATGCAGAAGAGAATAAGGGAATACTTTTTACAACCTGCACATGGTTCAACTCTTAGCCTGGCTCAGAGTCATTGCTTTGGTGACAGAGATGAAAAAAAAACGCAGGACAGCCACACCAGAGGTGAGTTGCCCAACGCTGCACACCAGGCAGTGTCGGAGGCAGGCTCCGATCGGTCAGCCATGGCACTGACCAGACACCACGTGGTTCTGCCTTCACCGATTTCCTACAGGCACCTTTGAGCTGCGAGGTGAAGAGCTCTGAGGTGTGGTGGAAGCAGATCAGATCAAAAGCTGCAAGAGATGGAACCCAGGAGGCAAAGCGAGGGACGTTGGTTGAGGGTAAAGGGAAGGATGGCAGAGAGATGACACTTACATGGAGACCCCTGGATGGGATGTGGAGCGAGAGGGATGGAGAGGTGAGCCAGGTAGCGGGGAGCCTTAGTGGGTCCACCATTCTCCTGTTTGGCTTCGTGGCTTTCCTCCTGCCATGGAGAAAGTGAGGTGGCTTGGGTGAGGGGTGGAGATGCCTCTGATGGAGGTGGGGAGGAGTGGGCTGTGGCAGTGACAGATTCCTGAGAGCTGCCAAGTAGCGGTCAGGCTGGACCACTGCTGATGGAGATGGTAAGGCCAGCTATAAGCATGTGTCTGAAACTACTCCGACTTCCTTGAGCAGGTCATCTTGTTGCCTAAAAGGCTGGCAAGAACAGAGCCAACGCTGACCCTGCAGAGCTGAAGATCTGACCTACTGTCAGCAGAGGCTCTGAAGGCTTCTCTGTATGCACTTGGACCCAGCAGGGCAGAGCAAGAGCAAGAAGTAATTTCTGTGGAAGCCACTTCTCCCCTGGCCCTCCCCTTCAGCACACACTCAGGACCAGTGCCAAGCACCTCCCAGCCCATCCTGAATTACCGTACCAGTCCCACTGTGTTGAAGAGGACCCCAGCAAAGGTGGGCAGCTCGTTTAAGATCCTCAGGTACTGCAGCTTCGCCTGCGCCGTGGAGACCTGACAAAACACATCACATGCGCCATCACCACCAGCACAAGGGGGAAGAAAAGCAAGAGGCCTGCACAAGCCTAGGAGCTCCCAAGCAGGGGTGCGCGGTGTGTTGGCAGGCAGCTTGGGGCATGGGCTGTACTGGCAGCGAGCCTGGGGGCTTGCCATAGGGTGGAGGGGGTCTCTGCTCCTCTGCCATCCTGGGCAGATGCTGGGAGGTAACTCAGAGCAGAGGCACAACCAGGGAGGAGCTCAGCCGCTTGATGTATAACCCTTCTGGGGGATGTATAATCCCCCCCGAGATGTATACCCTCCTGGGCAATATATAACCCCCCCCGGGAGCTCTGATGGCTGCAGGGACCGAGGCAGTAGCTCAGCAGCCTCCTCCAGAGCTTTCCAAGCCCAGAAGCAGAGATAACAATACTGATGTGTGCTGCTTTGGCCAAGCTGAGAGCCGGCTCTTGGCTGATCTCACCCCACAGATCTGCACTGGAGTCCCGGAAAGCCAGATCAGCTTTTGGAAGTGGATTCAGAAGAGTGAGAGGCTGCCTGGCTGTCACCCCGGGAATTATCTCCCATTCAAGGGGACTTAAGCAGCAATAACAGGAGTCCCCGAGCAGCTGGGGACAATAGGATGTCTGGGCAGAGGTCATGCTGCCACTCCATCATCCCTGAGCCATGGCCACGTGGGTTGGGCTTACCTTGGTGCCGCCGGGCTGGTTCTGGTGGGCTTTGAGCTGCTGCGAGAGGGATTTCCGGAGGCTCTTCTCTTTGATGAGCTGCAGGAGCGAGGGGGGCAGGAAGGGCTCCAGGCCCCACTCCTTCCTGCAGGGAGGGAAGCCTGCCTGAGCCACCAGGCCAGAGACCCCTCCGATGGGCGGAGATGGACACGAACCAGGGATGATGCCCGAGAGCATCTTGCCATCAGAGGGAGCTGGCGCCGCACCGGCACTTCCTTGGTGTCACAGACGGAGCAGCGGCAGGGGGAAAAAAAAAGTGGCCCCCCGGTTGGTGCCCCAGCCCCCAGCACTGCGGTGGGGAATGCAGCAGTGCCAGGCTCTGCAGCCAAGCCCAGCTCCCACTCACCTTCATGTAAAGTTAAGGGATGCAGAGTAAATCCCCAAACCTCTTTTGGGGTCCTCCCAGGGTGCCATCTCCCCACTTCCTCCCCCGTGGATGCTGGGCAAGGCCAGCCTGCGCAGACAGATTCTGTATGAATTTAAGACTACCAGGAGCTCCAGGAGGACTGAGCCAGGGCTACACGGCTTGGTGACAGGCTGAGATTACACAGCCACAGTGCCTTCTCCTTGCCTCGGATGCCTGGCAGAAAATCAGCCCGGATTCCCATGGAAATGATCCTGGACTCGCAGCAAATACACCCGCCAGCCCTGGCAAGGCTGCTGTGCGTGGCTGGATGTCAGCGTGCAGGGGTCTTACACAGCCTTATGGTGGGACCAGGGGCTGCGTGTCACTGCTGCTAAGCCTGTGAGTCACGGACCAGCTCCAGGGGTGGTCTCAGGGCATCTCATGCACAGCACCCTGAAATGTTGCTGGGAGGACCCCAGTTACACAGGGGCTGTGAGCAGGAGCACAGGGAGTGACACAGAGGAGGGCTGTGCGGCAGTGTGGGGAGAGGGAGGAGGACTCACTCTACGTTCTTGAGGGAGACCTTCTGGCTGGGGCGGGTGGCTGAGACAGTGATGTAGATGTGGAGGGCAGCGAGCCCCAGCAGCATCTCTGGCTTGGGGTCGGTGCCGAAGCGCTCTCTGATCACATCGTTGCGGCTCTGCAGGAGGGAGGAGAGGTGTCCTCAGACAACCATGGGGACAGGGCACCCGCCACCTGAGGGATACCTCTACAAGGCCCAGCCTGGGCAGACACATGGGCCACGAGCATCACCAGCTCCCATATCCTAGGAGTGAGTCCCGTACCTGGATGTACAAATATTCGAAGGCTGCAGGATCCCGGCGCAGCAGCTCCACTGGGTCCTTGGGGAAGAAGCTCACACGGAAGAGGCATCTCATGCCATGGTAGTGTGTCCTCTGCACAACCTGTGGCAGGAGCAGAGGGGAGCAGTGAGCCCAGGATTTGTGTATTATTTGCCTGCAGGGCAGGACACCCATTATCCTCTCCCCTGGGGGAGGTATTTGATTTCTCTCCTCCATGCACCACCTGATCCTTTCATCCCGGGAACAGCCTAGCCTTCCTTGGTATGACAGCTTTGCCTGATGCTGCAGGGGTTCATGTCACCAAGGCTAACGCTTCCTCCCCGATCCCTATTTTATCACTGGTCCTGTGCAGCACCAGCCTCCTGGCTCTCCCAGGCAGGCTGAGGATATTCACGAATGCTGTCTGCAGCTGCCCAGGCTGGAGCACAGAGCGCCTCCACGGAGCTGTCAGAGTGGGATGGGTAAAACCCTCATCATCTCCCTTTTTGCCCACCCTTTGCACCCCTGAGCCCGCAGGACCATGCCAGAGGCAAGGAGAGGCTACACTAGCCCATGGCACAACCCCAGCCAAGCCCCGTGCCGGTGGGATAAGAGCCTCCCTGTGCCCCAGCCACTGGCCACGGCTGTCCTAATGCCCCCCACACCCGGCGGCTTACAAAAGCGGCTTCCAGGGGCCAGCGCCTGCTTGTCCTGGAGCAGCAGGAACCGGTGGCTCTGCTCCGGGCTGGAATACTCCAAGACCAGGGCAAAGTGCTCAATGTGCCTCAGGGACAGGCGATCCTGCAACGTCACCATCACGTCCTGCAAACACCATGGACAGGCTTGGGTGCAAGGCACTGGCTCCCTCCCAGCGTGGGAGCTCGCACCCCACCGAGAGCCTACTCCTCCCCAGCACCTGGGGCTGCGCCAGTGCAGGATGAGGCCCTGCAGTGCTGAGAGGGGCCATGGAATGGTACCCAGGCATTGCCAGGTGAAGTGACCTCGCAGCAGGAGGTGACCAGCAGCCAGAATCCCAGCACCCTGGGTTACACTGCTGTTTTGGAGGGAGGCTGCAGGGAGCTGGCCTCTGCCAGGGGGACTCACAGGAGCATCCATCCTGGCTGGAGGGCAGGCTCACAGCAAGGAGAAAAGTTAGGAGCGGGAGGAAGCCAGCAAAAGCCGATCCCTACCAGCTGCAAAGCATGTCGCCCGGGGAGGCGGAGGGGCTATCCATCATGCGGTGGCAGTTCGCAGCCAGCCAAGCGCCACTGCGGTGTTTGTGCAAAGAAGCAGAAGACAAGGAAAAATGGATTGGGCAGGCGGGAGGAGAGAAGCGTCATGGTGCCATGGGGGGAGCGGAGGGGCCCACCTTCACGGTGGTTCGGCCATCAAACGTGAAGGATTTGATCTGCCCATTCTCCAGGAAAACCTTCAGCACGTTGGGAATGAGGAGGAGAGCTTCTTTCTTCAACATGTCCTGGCACACGGGGCCGGCAATGGGGGAGGCGAGGAGGATGGGGGCACAGAGAGACAGAGGGGGGGTGGGGAGAGAGAAGGAGTGTCAGTGATGGAGCGGTTACGGCATCCTCCGCTTCTCTGGGCTTATGCGCTAAGAGGCACATTTCCCTTGAAAGATCCAGTGTCTCTGCTGAGCCATCGAGAAGCGCAGAGCTGGAGTAATTCAGAGCTTGCTGACAGATTCACCTCCCCAGCTCCCAGCAGCTGCAGTGGGAACAGAACATCCCACTCAGTCCAGCACGTCCCAGAGCCGTGCCCATGCCTGGCAGCCTGTCCTGCTCCCCAGCTGGTGTCCCAGAGGGGGGGCTATGGCTGGGGTGGCTCAGAGCCAATCCCCCTTTCCTGACCCTTAACCCAAGTCTAGCCCACCTCAACCTTGCCCATGCCCTGTGCAGGAAGTTGGATGGAGGCTGATTTTATTTAGCGAGAAGTGTTTCAATTAGATAATTACTTAATTGATTTTGCTTAAAAATAGAATTTGCTACAAGTGCTTTACAGGGGTTTTTTTGGTTTTGTTTTTGGAGGTTTTTTGTATGCTATTTAATAAAACCTTTCTTCAATCAAAAGACAATAGCACTGGGCTGAAACACTATTGCAGCATAACAGCTTCCATGGCCACACAGCAGTGCCCTGGTCACCCTGCCCCATGCACGGGCGCTCCTGTGAAGGCTCTGGCACTGGGTTGGAAGCCACAGACCTTCCTTAGGGCAGGCGCTGGCACTGCCTGAATGTCACCCTTGGGTGCCCAGGGGGACTCAGGTGAGACCAGGTTTCCGAGGACAGTTTCTGGGGCTCCATCCAGATGGAGGGACAGGGGAGGACCATGGCATGTCCCCCCAGCACTGACCCAACACCTTGAGTGTGCCCAAGGGCATCTGCCCTGTGGGGCTGCCTGGGCCTGAGGGCTGCTCTTACCTGCAGAGCCCAAATCAGGGGAGAGGAGCCCTGCAGCCCCCAGCCACCATGTGCCCCAGGGATGTCTCACGGGGGTGAATCACATAGGAAGGCAGGGCAGGACTTACTGGGTCTGTCTCGCCGACTGTCACCTGCTCTGAAAATCGGACCTTCGCCGGGTTGGACCTTAGCTTCGCCTTCTTGGCTGCGCTGATGAAAGCAGATTTGGGAGACTGGAAAGAGAGCACCGGGTAAATCACCTGCCTACTCTCAGAGCTGTGGCATGGGGAAAACCAGGCATGCGGCCCAGAGAAAGCCTCTCCAGAGCCAGCATGATGATGGGGAGCAGGTAGCAAACCATGAAATGGGGGGGTGGAAAGCAAGTCCCCTTCACTATGGTTATACAGTGCTGCAGGCACAGCCCCTGAAGTCACACCAGCACCCTCAGGGGATTGGGGAGGCTGCACCCCCAGCGGGCACATATGCCCTGTACCCCCTGTGCAGGCTGAGCTCCAGCGGATGAGCCAGGGCTTGCTTGGAGGCACTGGCACTGGTTTGGATGGGAGAGACAAGCTCCTCGGACATGGGTCTGCAGCCGCGGGGAGGAACTGGGTGGCTGGGAGGTGGCAGGACCCCAGACAGCCCTGCGGGACATTCTGGTGGCAGTGCCTGGCACCAGGGGGCCTCTGACTGCCTACAGTGTGTGTGTCTGAGGGTGCCGGCGCTGGCATTAGCCGAGCAGCCTGTACTGGCGGCCATCCAGGGCCAGGAGCAAAAAAATCTCTTTTGGAGCCTGGCACACAGCCCGCTCTGACAGAGCAGCACCAGCACGGGGTGGTGGCACCTCCTTCTGGGGGGAGGGGAGCACAGGGGAGCTCTCACACTTATCTCCTTCATTGACACCAAAGGGCTTAGTAAAGCAGAAATGATGCCCTGCCACCGCCGCCACCAGCAGGACCATTCAACCTGCTCTGGTGCCACGGGTGCCGAGCCCCAGTGCACCACCGCCAGCTGCACTGCTCGGGGCCCGCATCTCCCCAGGGACTCCCGGGCCAAGCCTGCCGGGAACGGCAGTGGCATGTCCCTCCATGCCACCTCTGGCATGACAGGTCACTTCATCAGACATGCCTGATGCCCTCAGCAAACCATATGGGTTTGGGGATATTTTTCCTCCCTCCCTCCTGTGAGGAGGTAGTGACAAGGACAGGGAGATGGCCATGTGCCCACACTGACCCTGCGGGGCTGCAGCAGCTCTCAGACCTCACAGCTTGCAAGAGCCTTGGGGTGGTAGGACATCAGCCTAACACCTGAGTGGTCCCCTAGGGCCTCTAGGGACCACACCTCGGTCTCCCAAAGGGCTCTCAACCCCCGTCCTGGCTCCCCCGGGGCTGGCCATGGCCCCATCCGTCTCACCTGGTGGGTGTGCAGGACTGTGAGGATGATGAAGTCCTTGGCCTTCCTGTGACAGAAAGGAGAAATGAAGGTGGATGGGCCCTCACGCTGGTGGACCTCAACACGTGCATTTGGCTATCGAGAGAGCACATCCCACCCTCCCCAGCCTGATGGTGGCTGGGACCTTTGTGGGCTCCTTGGGGTCCTTGGTAATATGGCTGTGGGTGCTCTCCTAGCGCTGCCCACCTCTTGGCCAGCTGGGATCAGCTTCCCCATGCCAGCAGTGACCACCAGTGACAAGTGGAGGCTGGGGGTGTGCACTGTCACCCCAAGGCTCTGGTTGGGGCACAGCAGCCTGGAACAAGCCCCCTCCATGGTGGTGATGAGGGACGAGTGTGAACTGACCTGACAAGCTCGATGAATCTCTCTCTGGGGGCTTCACTCACATCCTCATCATTGATGGCCAAGATCTGGTCTCCTGGCAGGAGCTTATCCTCAGAGGGGCCGCCTGCCGGGAGACAGTGTCAGGGCCAGCCCAGGCATCCCAGGGCTGCAGGGTCAGGGGCAAGCAGGAGGTTCCCAAGCACCCCAAAGCATTTGCCCGTGTATGTGGCTGTGGAGGGCACCGTGCAGGCCCACCAGAGGTGACAGGAGAGGACAAGCAGCTCAGGGAGGGGTCGCACCAGGGGAAGGTGTCGCTGTGCTTCCTGGCACTCTGACGCCATGTCCAGAGACCCCACCCACCCCACACCTACCTGCTGCCACCGAGCGCACCACCACCGGCCTCTCGCTGCCGGCCACGAAGCCAAATCCGTAGTGGGGGTGGCGCTGGACTGTCACCTGTCGGAGGGTGTCCGAAGGCAGCTGCCCACATTCCATATCATCACCACCACGCTCCTCCGGCATCACATGGCTGCACTGCAGAGCGGAGGGGCAGGCTGTAAGGCACCCCATCATGGCAGCCCTCCCCGCTCACTCCAAGCCCTCTGCAACCTGGAGGGCAGCCCCACTCCACGTGCCTCCCGCATCTCTCCTGGCACTGCAGGTCCCAGCAGATTGCCAGAACATCCACAGCCCACCCCTCACCCCTGTCCTCCCTTGCAGAGCGGTGCTGCTTAGTGCCCGTCCTTGCCACAGTGCCAGCAGCTCGAGCAGGGGGACATTCACGGAGACACCCCCAAAGGGTAAATCATGCTATCCCCTTCCAGCTTCTCACTGTCCCACCCCCGTCCCAACATCTCACTTCATTAGATGGGAGACCTGTGCAGGATAAACTCCTGGTGGTGTGACTCTGGTGATCACCTGAGGGATGCCACCACCACAAGTTTCAGAGGAAGTGGCAGGCCCGGCACAGCCAGAGTGCCACCACTCTGCCCATTCTGCAGAGGTTTAGGAGCAAAGGGCTGGCTTTTTCACAGTGTAACATCGCTGCACAATGTCAGAGACAAACGGAACCAAGTTCAGCCAGTCTAAAAACTGGGATTAAGGCAGGCTTAGCCATGGCTGCTGGCACTATGACTGAGTCTCTGCCGCCAGCTCCGGGACTCCTCGAAACACTGACAGCCAGAAGACAGAAAGACTCAGCCCAGGGCAAGGTCATGCCAAACCTGCCCTTGGCATCCCAGAACAATGCAGCTGTGGCTCTGGGCTGCTCAGCAAGGCTGTGAGCCTATCATCAGGGAGCACCATTGGGATGGCGGCAGAGCGCAGCACGGACAGATAGCAACGTGCATGGCCAGGACCAGAAAAACAGTGATGAACGTGCCATTGTTTCTGTGCTGCTCATTGCTTGTTCCTGTCCAGACTATTTAGCCTTCTTAAAAAAGATCCTTCCTGGCCTTTTGGCAATACATCAATTGTTCCATCTCTTATCAGTTTAGGATTTGACGCATCATCCATCTAATGCAATCTGTCTGCATTTCCAACACCCCCTGCCCGCTCCCAGCACCGCATGTTGGCACCCACTGCACAGTGAAAAGAGATGGCACGCGGGCCCAAAAAATAACAGGAGCTTCTTGCAGCTCTGAGCCAGCCCACGGGCAGCTTTGGGCTTGAGCACATCGCTGCCAGGGAAGACAGCCCTGTGCTGGCCCTGATCCCCAGGTGACCTGTCCTGACATCCTTTAAGGGAGCAGGGTCTTGCTGTGTCCCTGCTGCCTTGTCTCCCATGGGAGCCCAGGGGGCTCTGAGCACCAGGTGCCTCCACCCAGTGTCAGGGATACAGTGCTGGCTATGGATGAGCTGTGCTCTGTGGTGATGGGATGCCACCACTGTCAGGTCCACCCTGACCCATCCTCAGTGCCCAGCCAGACGGGTACCCGCGGTCTTCTCCTCCCTCACGCAGCAGCATGTGGCTGGAGAAGCAAAGCAGTGAGACCCAGGGAAGGCAACTGCTGAGGAGCAGAAGGATGCGGGTATCTCCCGGGGCAGGGGGAAGCCCTGTACCCATCAGGGGTCCCAGTGGGGGTGCAGCACCCGCAGGCACGGGGTGCAGGGCTGGCTCCAGCGCCAGGAGAGTGCAGCTGTGGGGAAGCGCAAGCGAGACCATCTCCCCTGCGACTGGCTATGCGCCGCCTCATTAGCTGCTCTGCTACTCCCATGAGCATTTAAAAGAACAGCAACAACAACAAAAATATCACACGATTCAACCAATTTTCTCAAATGAACGTTCTCCAAAGCCATTGTCTGCAGCTGAAAAGGAGACTGAACGCAGTGCTGCGTCTCTGCACGGCTGGCACGGCCAGGGAGAATGCCTGCTGTTTGCAGAGATGGAGCTGGCTGCCAAGAGACAACAGAGCCCTTTCGTCGCCTCCAATCTGCCCACAGCAACTCCAGCCCCACCCCCCCATCCAACAAGTGCCCGCGGTGCGTGAAGGTGAGGATGAACTGCGGGGCAGAAAGCGCTGGGATGCCTCAGGGATGTGAGGAAACTGAGGCAGGGGTTTGCTTATCAAGTCACAGGCAAGTGGGTGACAAGTCCCAGACTACAGCTGCCCACTGAAAGCTGTTGCGTCCCCAGATCTGTCCTTCTGGGTGCAACTTGGGAGTGGGTCTCACCCCTGCTCCTCCCCATGGAGCTCGCAGCCAAGCCATGACCGCCCTGCAACAGCAGCCTCTCAGGCAGCTGAATTACCATTAGAAAAGGTTAGCAGGGAAATCTTTGCAGTCTAAACAGACAAGAGGAAAAGAAAGCACACCTCATTTCAGCCACAACCAGTCTGCCGTCCAGCGTTAAAAGGAAGGGGGGAATAAAGAGCTGGATACCGACAATAAAACTCTTTTACCAGGCTCTTAAGCTGCTCCTCTCCTGATAAGACTTTATGCTACAGAAGCATTACCAGGAAATTAAATAAGAGAGGACCAGTGTCCTCGTAAGCAGGACTTATTTGGAGAAGTAGTAATGTGCTCAGCAGCAGGTACAGCACGCCTTCTCTGGGCTGTGGCTCTGAACGTCCTTCCCGTGGCAGCTCTCCCATGCTGGACTGGGGGCATGACATGTGCTTGTCCTGGACCAGAGCAAGAGGCCAGAGAAAACCACCAGCAGCAGCAGCGGGTAGTGCTCTCGCTGACACTAGTAAAGACAGCTTGGCTGCACCCCAGGACTGCAGGAGCCATCGCTTCCCTGAAGCCTGTTTTTTGTGTTTCTTCTTCTAATTCCTCAACAGAGAAGTGCATTGGCCTGCAAATCTCTCAGCCTTGCTCTTGCAGCAGGGGACTGGGGCTATAAAACCGCTCCTGGAGCTCAGCAGCTCTGCCGCATCAGCAGCACCCAAACCCAGCCCCACCCCAGGCTCAGTGACCAGTGATCCGGGCCATGCAGCTTGGAAAACATCCGCCACCCGCCTTGGTGGGCACAGACCAGCGCTGACCCCATCCCACTGCAGGGAGCAGAAGGCCATTCATGTCCGTGTCCCCACCCTGCCTATGTCCCTGCCTGCCTGCTGCCCACCCCTAGCCTGAGGGGCTGCACTCCATCCCCTCGCATGCCCAGGGACTACTGTGGCACAGTGCCACCGAGACAAAAGGTCATTAGAAAACAGCTCAGCACAAGGTAAAAGGATTCGCCAGGAGAAACCCCTCTGTGCCCTTCAGCAGCAGGAGCCAACCATGGATGTGGCCCTGTGGGATGTCTGCTCCTCACCCGGCTCTTCACGGTGTCTTGACCGATATGGCATGAAGATAGCCCTATCTCCTGGGGCTTGGACACTTATCTTCTGTGCTCAGAGCTCAGACACTGATCCAGTCACACTCTGCCGCCCAAGGTAAGAGAGACATCAGCTCTGTCTGGTCACTCCCCAACACTACATGCTGCCAAGGGATGTGCCTTCAGCTTCCTGAGCACCTTCAGACCCCCGCGCTACAGAGCGGGGCTGAATCCAGAGCCCTCATTCCCCCCCGACAGATAAAGGCAGAGCAGTAGTTACTTCCAAAGCTGATGCGTACATTTTTAATTTCCTACTGCAATAAATCTCTGCTCCCTCTGAGGACTGGTTTTCTCCCTTTGCTTTTAGTGCTGACTGACCATTTCTGCTAGCAGGAAAAGCCACCAGAACAAACCAGGACCACCTGCCCGGGAGGAGCGACGGTCTCCATCTACCCAGGACACTAGCACCATTTCCAACTGCCTTTAAACAGGAGGGCACCAGGTGGGGACACTTTCTGCAGCTGAAGGAGGGTTTATGGCTGAGCCCCAGGATGGGGAGTGGGTATGGAAAGGTCTTGAGCCTTTTGCTGAGAGGCACTTTGCACAGACGTGCTGCAGGGGTGGGTGCCAGCTCTCCTCCCCCTTCCACTGCTGCCATGAACATCCTGAGAACAAACAGAGCCTGTGGATTCCTGTCTTTTCTGCTGCAAAACCGTGCCCAGCTCCTCCATCTGCCAGGCTGCAGTTGGTGAACGGCTTGCGAGGCATGTGGGATCCTGAGCACGTGTGGCAGCGTCAGGAAACGCCGGGGAACGGGCCAAGCAGTGTTTTTATGGGGAGCATATGGCATCTCCAGCCTTGCATGCTGATCTCCATCTCAGACGAAGCCCATGGGGCTGCAGGGTGTGTGGTGACCAATGGCAGAGACAAGAGCAGAGTGGGCAGAGCTGGCTGGCATGGGATCCACTGGGACATGCACCTCTGCTCCATCAGCCCTGCACATCTGTGCCCAGCAGGTACGGTCACCTTGGAAGATGCCATTTGGACCATGTTAACATGTCAGTCGTCCCCAGCAAGGGCAAACAGATGCTCTAATTCCAGATCGCCACGAAGCTGCTCAGACACGCAGTGCAGGCGGAGGTGGTGTTTGATGGCCTGGTGACAACTGCCCTTGCTTTGACAGCAGTTAACAGCTGGCCGAAGTGAGGAGGGCTGGACTGAGGGGTGCCAGCCTGGCTGAGACTGACGTTAAAGGCAGCAGAATGACCCAGGCCTTCATGGCCGAGTCCTTCATGGACTCAGCCAGCAGAACTGCAGCCTGCATATGGCTCTGCCATATGACCCAGGACTTTACCCCCCGTGCTCCAGCTTGGATTAGCTGTCAGTATTAGGAAGAAATTTAAAATCAGTGGAGCTCTTCAAAAGGGTTAGCCTTACTGTTGGTGGTGGGTCTGTCCTTAGCTGGCAGGTACACCAGGTACGCTGCCGGTACAGAGGTCGGGTGTCAGACGGCAACCATCTGAGGGCAAAAACACTCCAGGCTTTCAGCACAGGAACAAGCAGACGGCGAGCAGCATCCCCCAGCACAGACGGAGCTACGCTGCTGGAGAAGCCAGAGAGCGGCCAAAGGCAGCTGTAAATAATGAAGCAGCAGCCGCAGCCTGGCTCCAGGCAGCAGCCACAGCTCTCTGCTGCTCAGCCTGCAGCTTTAACTGGTCCTGGCTTCTCAGCCAGAGATAAACACAGGCAGAAGGGCAGGGAG